ACTGCTGTGGCCAGTTGCCAGCGCAACATATTTGGCCGGAAATGGCCATATCGGTGCACGACGGACATTTTCGGCCTTCCGTGAGCCGTTAGGTTGCCGGCTGCCTACGGTGGTTGCTGGCGGCCGACAGTGGCTGGGTTGGTGGGGGTGCTTTGTTGATTTTCTAAACAGAAAAAGTGAAATATAACACAATATTTATTTTCTCATAACCACATCTGTTGGTAAATGTGTTATGTTATGAAATTGTCAGAAAATATGTCATGGTTGGCATTGTTATGAAATGGTCATTTCTCTCTTTTAAAATTCCAAACCTTGTAACTTTGATTTGAAGCTTTTTCTGTACTACTACTTCTAAATGTAATTTTCTTTTGATGTTATTTTCTATATAAATGTGTTCATTTTGCTTTGGATTTGGGTTTGTAGGGAGAAATCAGATCGCCTTTTTCGATGCCTTGATTGTCAGTATAGGAGTGAACTTGTTAGGGTATATTTAACAAATGTGGAGCAAATATGTCGGCGTTTTGTGGAAGAAAGACGAGGGAAGCTTGGGAGGTTGATAGAGGACAAAGTTGGGTGGACAAGGTACGGTATTATGTATATGCATAGTTGTCGACTTTCATTGTTGATTGTTCCTTTAAGATGGTATATTACTTTTGTAAGATACGGTTTGGAGCTTTTCCCATGAAGTTTATATGGTTTTTATGAAGAACTTTGCGTGTTTGATCATAATATATGTATGGCTATGGCTGCAGATAGGGGTATTCAAAAAAATATAAAAACCAAACCGAACCGATAACTGAACCAATAACCAAAAAAACGGTTCAGTTACGGTTCAAGAAATTAAAAAAATCGAATTTTTGGTTCGGGAAAAAATCAAAACCGGTTTACATATATATATATATATTAAATAAAAATAAAAATAATAATTATATATTAAATAAAATAATAATAATTTAAACTAAATCCCTAAAAAAATTGTTAGTAGTGGTCAATGGATATGTATGAATGTTTAATTTTTATTTGGATATGTATTATTTATGTTTACAATTTAAGTTAGGAAAAAAAAAAAATTTTATCCAATAAAAAAGGGGAAAACCGGTTTTCCCCCAAACCGGTTCGGTTTCGGTTTGGAAATTTTTCCGAACCGGAAAACTAGTTCGATTAAAAAAAGTGGTTAACTGGTTTGGTTAACCGCTTTTAAACACCCTAGTTGCAGCTTCTCTGCTTTTTGGTTGGGGATTGACCAAAATGTCAGGCGCAGTACCGAGGAAACACTAGCTCCTATTATTAATGTGGAGAATGTTATGTTTGTTTTGGTGGATGATGTGCTGCTACCTACTAGAGAAGGCTATCTTGTGTCATGGGCTGGGAGTTTCACACCCAAAAGGCTAACCTATTAGGTGGAGAGACTCCCTCTTTATAAGCTCAAGACCTCCTTAATACGCTTCCCATATGGGATTCATTACACTTGGAACCATTGCTACCAAAAGGTGAAAAAGGTCCTCAAAATTGTACAAAAGGTGGGCTTTTGTAACTCAGGCAAATGAGCTATATATGTTCTTGGTTAGTATGAATGAGAATGCACAAGTTGTCTGATTCAGGTTAATCCTTCAATAGTTGCTATGAAGTTTGAGTTGCTTTCATTCCTTTTATTTTTTCCTTGGAGGTGGTTTGCAGGTTTCTATTCGAATGATTTCTTATCAATATCGTGCTGATTAATGTTCCGGACCTTTCAGAAATTCTGAACAAATGACATTTCTGCATGCATATGTTATCTATAAAATGGATTATCGATAGGGAATTAACTCCACATTTCATTGAATGACTTAGCAACATGTACTCATTTGTATACAGGATGGTAGCTCTGGGGAGGACTGTGGAAATTTCTGTCCTTGCCCATATATGCAGAGGCAAGAAGAGCTAATTGAGTAGCAGACATTGGATTCCCATACATGAGTGATGAGGTTGGTTTGCTACTGGGATAATCAACCATCTTTAGCCACATGGCTTCACTAGAACCATCAATGTCGTCACTTTGAGCTCCTCTACTTTTACATGGGCTTTCATGAATTCTTAAGCTCATTTTCCAGAGTTTAGATGGGTGGAACGAGGTTGTTTGGATGAAAAGAAAGTAAAGGAGAATACGAGGGAAAGCTAAAGAGAACTCTAGATAAGTTTTAAAATATACAAAGCGAACTTGATCTTATTTGGGGATTATTTTACATCAGCTACTTTTTCGCTATCCTTTCATTCAACTTTTTTTTTTTTTTTCTTAATTTGTTCTCTCTACATAGTATTAATTTAATTTTATAGCATTTATTAAAGTAGAAACTGTTGCATGAATGGTGTTTTGATAAAAACATACTATAATGCAGAAACATGATTGGTTTGAGAAAGGAAAGCATTTAATACCAGAATTTGATGATTAAACTTTAAAGTAATAGCTTTTTGGGTTAAACAAACGACTAGGAGTGTTCCACGTGGATAGAACAATTAAAGTGTCATTAGCAATGCTTGAGGCTAACGTATGATAATATGTCTCAACTGTAATTGTAATATATTAATATTATATAATATATATACTTTTGTATACAAGTTAATATAATACAAGTTATACATTTTATTTACATATGGTGTTTAATTAAAATATCTATATGGTGTTTAATTAAAGTATATAATTTTTATTTTTGTGTAAAAATAAAGAATAAATACATTTTGAGAAACGCATTTAATATTTATTTGCATAAAAAGCAATGAAAAAAAGAGCAGTATAACAACATCTAAAAACATTTGTACAAAATGTCTCATACAGTTTGAAACACTTTTTTTTTTTTTGTTTTGGAAAAAGATAAAATATATTAAGAAAGAAAAAATATACAAAAAAAAAAAAGGGCATATCTCAAGAGGAGGTCAAAACGACCAAAACTGAAAGACAGAAAGGTAAAACAAGGGCACAAAGCCCAAAAAGGAACGCAAGTCCTGAAACTAGTCAGGCAACTAAGGGGGGTTTGTCTGAGCTTATAAAATTAGCTTATAAGCAACAAGTGCTTATAAGCTAATTTTAGCTTATAACTTTTGAAATTTTAAGCAATTACGTGTTTGATTAAAATACTTATAAGTGACTGATAAGTAGTTGACGTGTTTGGTAAAATGTGGCTTATAAGTATATTTTATTATAAAATGACTAAAAAAGATACTACATTAAACAAGGGTATACTAAGGAATTTTAAAATTAAACAAGGATAATGTGGTAATATACTTGGTCAAACTAGCTTATAAGCAGAGTACTTATAAGCCAAAAAAAAAAGTACCTCCCCTCAACTTATTTTTTTTGGCTTATAAGCTCAACTTATAAGCTCAAAAAAGTTATAAATAAACAGGTCAATTTAATTTTAGAGCTTATAAACTAGTTTGACCAGCTTATAAGCTTAGACAAACACCCCCTAAATATATCGCTAAGTTAAGGTGAGATGTCGAACTTAGAGACTAAGTCAGAAACCTGATCTTGAACTAAAGTACAAATATCATGAATGAGAATCCATAGGGAGTTGTGCTATTGATTGAAAACTCGATTATTTCCTTCATACTAAAGAAAAAAAAAAGGTGGTTGATAAGATTAATCGTGTAAGGGCATGCTTAAAATCGCCTTTGCGGTAGAGATGCAAACTATCATACTGAAGCAGAGAAAGCCATGGGATAAGTGTTTTAATTGAGACTTCCCCCCATACCTAAGACGGGAAATCACAATTAAAAAATAGGTGCTCATAGGACTCAGCAACTCTGTTTTAAAAACTGGATTGGACTGATCGGTCGAACCGGGATTCGACAGCTTTTCTGGTCTGGTTCAGGTCTTAGGGGGGTTTTATAATATTTCAAAATTATAAGGGTTAACTGTAATTTTATAGGAGTGTTTTGGAGATATGTCAAAAGTTTAGGGATTAATTGGTAATTTTTTGGAGACTTTTTGAAATAAATAAAAATTTTAAGGACTAATTTAAACTTTTATAGGGGAATTTTTGTAATATATTAAAATTTAAGGGATTAATAATAGTTTTTTAAAAATAAAATTATTGCTGACGTCATCGGTCCAACCGATCGGTTCAATCGATTGGATCGGTTGACCTGTGACCCAGGCAGCAAAACGGGTTGCCCTCCGATCCGGGTTTTAAAACAATACTCAGCAGTTGAACTACATAAAACACACTGAGATGACGCAAGAAAACAGTATGAAGACGATCCATAGTGTGCAGTTTGCCATCAAATAAAAGAATGCCTTGGGATATGACTGAAACACTTAAACACTGATTTTTCAGTATGATTGAAACATAATTTTTAATTTAGAAAACGATTTGAAATATTTTTAAGAAAAGCTTTTTCTTGAGAATATTTTGTAAATGGGAAAGTTTTTCTAACATAAAACAAAATTATTTGCTCGGCTATATATAAACACTTAACGGGGTCGACCGGAAACCCACGCCGAATCCATAACCTTGAAACCTGTCTAAAACCGGCCCAACCCATTTCCTTTCAAAACTGAAAACACAGCATCCCAAACCCTAACTGCTACATGTTCTTAGTCATAAAAAAAAGGAAAAAAAAAAAAGAGTGGAGCCCACAATGTGTTAAGCCAATCAAGAAGAACGAGTTATAAGGTAAGCAAAGGGCACCCTAACCTAGAGACCTAGTGAAGCCAAGAGCCACCATCACCTCCTTCTTCTATGCTCTCTAATATTAGTCACCGACCTCCTTTTTTTTTTAATAAATTTATTTATATTAGCCCTTAATTAATTAATTTCTTAATAATAGAGGAAAATAAAAAAAAAATAAATAAAATAGGAAAGAAAGAGGGTAGAGGAGGAACAAAAACAAGCCAACCCACTCTCTTGTTCCTCCTTCGCTTACTGTCTCTTTTATTTTCTCTATATTTAATAATAAAAAAAAGGACAAAAACAAAATTTAATTAAATAAATCAAACAACAAATTTTCGTTTTTCGGTCTCTCTCTCTCTTCTCATCCCTTGCTGCTCCTTGTATTGGACCCCTCTTTATCTTTCTTTCTCTTCTCTCTAAAATCTCGAAGAGCTGTCATAAACCAATTTGGGAACAGCCCTCTGGTCTTTGGTTTCAGGTTCGATCTGTACGATGTCGTCTGCGTTTTTCAATTCCTTGATTTTTTGTTTCCTGTTTTAGGGTTTGATTTTGATTGGGGTTTTGGGGATTTCTCTGGACGATCTTCATCTTTTTTGTCGCATATTGTAATCTTGATAATTTTGATTATTTCCTTATTCTTTCTTTTGATAGTTTATTCAGTTTTCAATCTAATTGATTATTCTTTAACCGGGTTTTTGAGATTTTGATATTCAAGTTTATTTCTGATTGTTTTGATTTTTTGGTGTTTTGTATTAATATCCTTTTAGAGACAATGAAAATTATAATATATCAGAATAGCGATGAAAATTTCAGAAGCCAAACATATGTTTATTTTTATTATTATTGTTACTTTGTTTTGAATTGAAAACCTATTAGCTTTAAAATTGAGACGGTTTCTGGTGTATTTATGGTCTTATGTGTGGGTTTTTGTTTTTTGATATTTTGGTGAATTGGTAACATTTGTAATGTGTTTAATATTTTTTTTTTTGGGTGAAGTGATTTTTGAGAGCTGATGTTGACTCTTTTTATTTATTTATTTATTTATTTTTTATGTGGGTGTGTTGTACTATAGGGAGTGGAGTCGAAGGAGTGTGGGGGAGGGAATTCTGGAGTGGAAATGGCGGGGGTTTTGAGCGAGGAGGCTGGAGTGGGAAGGTCTGTGGAGGGGATTTCGAGTGGACAGCGTTGCCAATCAGGGGAAGCACTAGCAGAGTGGCGGTCTTCTGAGCAGGTGGAGAATGGAACTCCATCGACTTCGCCCCCTTATTGGGACACTGACGATGATGACGATGATGGCTGTATGGTTTTGGCACCCTATTTTGTATATGAGTTTGTGTTCCGTGATTCTAAGTAACTTTGCAATTTTGTCTTGTTCTCAATGACTTTAAGTTCTGAACGGAGGAAATATATGAAGTATGAGGAAGGGGGCAGTGATTGTGAGCAGAAAATACTTTGATAATTGACATGGTTCTCTATGAGTTTTTCAGCTTATGGGTGATTGTTATATAATGTCTATACAGCCCAAGGAGCTTGAGGGTGAAAATTGCATTTTCTAAAATTCTCATACTTTTTACACCCTAATATTATTTGATCATATTAAATGGATGATTATATTTGGTCATGGGATAATATGTGGTGGAGATGGAGATTCTATAGGCATGTTTGTGGGTGCCTGAATGGTTTTGACTACTTTCTTGCTTTTTGTGCCTGAATTATGTGTTCACCTGATAGTAGGTTGCAAAACCATCAAATTATTAGTGTTTAAACTGTCTGTTTACAATTTTAGAGCCTTGCGTTTTATATCCTTGTGTGGTGTTTTGACAGACCAGTTGTCCCCCCTCTAGATATTATACATCGGTCATGCTTCTCTAGTTTTCATACTTTCTTTATCTGCCCAATAATGTACTACCTGGTCTCAAAAAGTGGCAGCGAAGGGAACATACAAACAGTTTATTTACCTTTTTGATCCTTTTCCCCGGATTCTTTTAGATGAATTTAGGAACTATGCAGCAGGGGTGAATTAATTAGTTTGCTTTCCAAAACAACAGCGGACTAAGTGAACTAAGTCGAATAACAAGAAATTTAGAGGTTTTCCATTTTCTTTTCTCTATTGCCTGCTAAGTAAGCAAATCATCATATAATGCAAAATTGGAATATAGATTTTACTGAATGCAGTCATTGTCTTTGAGGGCAAATTCCTTTACAGGATTTTTTTTTTTTAATCTTGAACTGTTTAAGGTGGAAACCATCTTCCTGATAGATTGCTAATAATATGTAATATATAGAAGAATAAGTGAGCTTGGTATTTTACGATGCTTGATCTTTGATATTTTAGACCTTGTTTCGACTTATGACAGTTATACATTTTTCTTTATCATGCTGGTAAATTGTTTAGACTTCCATTTAGCTTGGTTTTGCATACTTTGTAAGGAGAATATGTCGAATGATATCCCTGTGGAGGGTTCTTTTTATTCTATATGGCTACTGATGTATATAGGCAGTTGAGTGTGAAGATGATGCTAATGGAGTGTAAATATGCTAGCTTTTCCATCCAGTAGTCTAAACTTGGAAGTGGACTGAGACAGCTGCACATGTTTTGCTTTTACATTTTCTCTTCATGAAGAAATATTGGCTTATCTTCTTGCTTTCTATGTTATGTTCAAACATCTTTTACCACCATTCTACTTCTCTAACTAAGATGACTTCTTCTTAGGGCCAAAACCTTCTGAGTTATATGGAAAATACACGTGGAAGATAGAGAATTTTTCACAGATTAGCAAACGAGAACTCCGTAGTAATGCATTTGAAGTTGGTGGCTACAAATGGTATGAGGTTTAGAGTATGAATGGTTTCTCATTCTTTTTTCTCCATTGCTTTTCTTATTAATTTGTGCGTATATATCTTTGTATATTTGTTAAGTGGCACGAACACGTGTGTTAGTATACGTCTCTCAGATGCTTAGTTCATTTTTAACGCTAGTGAAAGATGAGCTTTTTGAATTGTCAGATAGCTCTAAAATTTCTCATTCGTAATTTTTATTCTTTACTTTCTGTTGAAGGAAATTCTTATGGCATCATATGTATGTGTCTATGTAATGTATGTAATTCTTCATTATGATTGATGGGTTCTTCATCTGTAAATTTTTAGAAGTCTCATTTACATTTCTTCTGAGAATTTTTCATAGAAGTCACAAAGTTGTTAATTCACTTCCATTAACTGCTCTAGTAGGTCATGTCTTCCTTCTTATAGATTGACAAGTTGCCACATTTGTTGCTTACGATAATACTTTCTGCTGTCGGTCACAGGTATATCTTAATTTATCCCCAGGGCTGTGATGTTTGCAATCATCTCTCATTGTTTCTCTGTGTTGCAAATCATGACAAACTCCTACCAGGTTTGATATTATCAATGGGTTTCGTATTGCAAGAACTTGCTTACTTTTTTTTTTTCTTTTCTCGATCTTTATGGTTATAATCATGCGTTTTCTCTTGTCTTTGTGAACCAGGCTGGAGTCATTTTGCTCAGTTTACAATAGCTGTTGTAAATAGAGATCCAAAGAAGTCAAAATATTCTGGTTGGTTTGCTGAAAAGAGTTTTTGTTTAACATATCCAGGTTCTTGATTTATAATTTAGTAAATGCAAATTTTGCAGATACTTTACATCGTTTTTGGAAAAAAGAGCATGACTGGGGTTGGAAAAAGTTCATGGAGCTATCAAAAGTGTCTGATGGGTTTAAAGATGGTGACACTCTAATTATAAAGGCTCAAGTTCAAGTCATCAGGTATCTTCAATGCTTCATCTATTTGACAAAGTAAATTTCATATAGAATTTCCTTTAATATTTTTGCAAGGATAGTCTTAGGTATTTGATTTTTGGCTTGGTAATGTTCTTGTATCATGGTCTTTGACGATTTAAAGTTGGGTAAGATTTTCCATGAATAACGATGAGTATTCTGTAAAATTGTTAGCTCTTTTACATGAGTTTTGCTGAACGAAAAAGTGAAATATGCTCATGTTTGTGGTAACTTGTGAACTTCGATCATTACTTTCTTATGACTATTTAGTACCACTGCAGTGCAATGGTTTTTTTTTTTTTTTCATAATCACATTCTGCTGCTTAATTTATTATGTTATGAAGTTGAAAATATGCCATTGTTGGCATTTTATAACGTGAAATCCCCCAAGTCATTTCTCTCTTTAAACTTCTAAACCTTTTAACTTTGTGTTATTTTAAGCTTTTTCTGTATTACTTCTTCTATATGTATCTTCCTTTTGATGTTATTTTCTGTATAAATTGGTGTTTATTTTGCTTTGGGTTTGCAGGGAGAAATCAGATCGCCCTTTTCGATGCCTTGATTGTCAGTATAGGAGAGAACTTGTTAGGGTATATTTGACAAATGTAGAGCAAATATGTCGGCGTTTTGTGGAAGAAAGGCGAGGGAAGCTTGGGAGGTTGATAGAGGACAAAGCTCGGTGGTCAAGGTATTGTATATTCATATTTATTTACTTATATTTTCTATTATTCCTTTAAGATGGTGTATTACTTTGGTAAGGTATGGAGCTTTTCCCATGATTATGTGGTTTTTGTGGAGAAATTTGCATGTTTGATAATGATATATATATTGCTATGGTGGCAGCTTCTGTGCTTTCTGGTTGGGGATTGACCAAAATGCCAGGCGCCGTATGTCTAGAGAGAAAACAGATGTAATTCTGAAAGTAGTTGTAAAACACTTTTTTATAGAAAAGGAAGTCACATCTACTCTGGTAATGGATTCCTTGTATAGTGGATTGAAGGCTCTTGAAGGGCAGGCCAAATGCAAGAAAGTGAGGCCACAGTTGTTGGATGCCGAGGAAACACGAGCTCCTATTGTTCATGTAGAGAATGATATGTTTGTTTTGGTGGATGACGTGCTGCTACTACTAGAGAGGGCTGCCTTGGAACCATTGCCACCAAAAGATGAGAAGGGTCCTCAAAATCGTACAAAGGTGGGTTTTGTAACTCTGGTATAATTTAGTTATGCCATTGGATAGTATGAACCGGAGAATGCACGGGTTGTTTGATTTAGATTAATCCTTTAATTGATGCTATGAAGTGTGCGTTGCTTTCATTCCTTTTAATTGTTTCTTTGGAGGTGGTTTGCAGGTTTCTGTATGAATGACTTCTTATCAATATTGTACTGATTAATGTTCTGGAGCTTTCAGAAATTCTGAACCAATGACGTTGTGTATGCATATGTTATTTTCTAATTTGAAGTTTTGTTGGCCCTACAGAAAGTTGAATGGTTAAGGGTGGGTTTTGTTAGGGTAGGTTTATTGGGTTCTGGAGGAGTTGGTGCTGGGTATTTAGGTCGTGGTGGTATTAGGGTACTGGTGGCAGCTTTTGTGGTGGTAGAGCAGTCTTGCTTGCAGTAGAGAAACTTCGGTGACAGCTTTGGTGGTGGTAAGAGTGGTTTTGCATGTGTAGACAAATTCTGGCGGCAGCGGTGCTTTAGTTATATACCCTAATTATTTTGATTTCATGCATAGATTTTTTTTTTTTAATTTATTTTTATTTTATTTTATGAGTACTTGTTTCTGAAAAATTATGTTGCCAATGCCTCTGTTACAAATAAATAGAAGATGGATCTGGGTCTGAAAGTAGAGGAAAAAGATTTGGTGTTGCTCACCTTATAATATTAGGATGTGATGTGCCGTTCTTTGAGTTTGTTTAATCTTATTTATTTTGGTATTATGTGCGATGGAGTTTATTAGCTTTATTGTTTGTTTCATCAATGATTTGAGTATATAATTGATGTGGAATTTTGTGAAAATGGAAGTTACATTCTTAAGTTACAATAACTTGGTTCTATATATAAATATTTAACTATATGTTTCATTTAATGACTTAGCAACATGTCCTCATTTGTATACAGGATGGTAGCTCTGGGGAGGACTTTAACAAGGATTCCATTGAGCGGGATGAAAGGCGTCTTACAGAATTGGGGCGTAGAACTGTGGAAATTTTTGTCCTCGCCCATATATTCAGGTATTTTATTTGTTTATTATGCATTTCAAATTGCTGAAAATTATGTCTTTTCTACAACTGAATCACATAGGCAATGTTGAGTTTTCTGTTAATGATTGTAGGTGTTTCTAGCATGTAGGTTAATTATATTTTCCAGTGATGTTTACAGATTTCAATTTTTTTTTTAATTGTTTGGTACCTCGCACACAACCTTTATTGGTTTTCTTTCTGATGGAATTCACTGCAAAGTTATCTTTCGATCATGCTGCTGGGATATTTTATTAGCCTTGAGGTTCTAGTGGAACGATTATATTTTACCTGCTTGTCAGTAAACATGGATGCCTAAACTATTTTCATTGGTGCATACAGCAATAAAATTGAAGTTGCCTATCAGGAAGCTGTTGCATTGAAGAGGCAAGAAGAGCTAATTCGTGAAGAGGAAGCAGCATGGCTGGCTGAAAGTGAGCAGAAGGCTAAACGTGGTGCTGCTGAAAAGGAGAAGAAAACAAAGAAAAAACAGGTATGGTATCTTAGTCTTCATTTGGAAAGACTGAGAGCTACAATTGAGTTTTCATTCTACAAAGGGATATCAGAGACCTTTGATCTCCTTATTGAATTGACTTTGTTGGGTATTTCTTATCATTTATTTACAAAATTTGTTAGGGAAACTTGGGCTAAGATATGCATTTATAATTTATTTGTCATCACATAATCACTTTTTAGACACCTCACCTGATTTTTGTTATATGATTGCTGATGTGGTTATTGTGTCTTGTATTGAAGTAGCTGACATGCAATATCAGCAGTTAGATATTTTTTGTTGCTGCATCATTTTTTTGGCTATGATATTTGTTTTCATATTGCATCTTTTTATTATCCAATATTGCAAATTTATAACGAAATATTGAGTTTGCCAATATTAAAGTTTTCGTAGTTTTCTCATGGATTGCTTGCTTTTCTTTTTGGAAAGTGATACCATTTCCCCTTTTTTTTTTTTTTTTTTTAATTATTATTGCAGGCTAAGCAGAAACGGAACAATCGCAAAGGGAAAGAAAAAAAGAGGGAGGAAAGGCCCAGTGCTGGTATTCAGGACAAGCATGAAGAAGAAAACCTTAGTGATGAGAAAAAGGAGCCCATTTCAGAAGATGCTCAGCCTGTGCTTGAAAAGCCTGACATGCTGGAAGATATTTCGGATGTTTCTGATTCAGCGGATGGTGTTGCTGAAGTGCTTCAGCCTGATTCAGAAGACAGGGATACTGATACATCTGAAGTTACGCCTCCAACGGAAGCCAGTAGCAGTGGAATTTGTAGCCTATCATCTGTACCGAATGGTATGGCTGAAAAAAGGAGTCCAATGGATGATAGTTCATCAACGTGTTCTACCGATTCGGTCCCATCAGTTGTGAATCTTGTGATGAATGGTCCCTATAAAGGGAACTCCTTAAACTACCAGAATCAAAAGTCACCTAGCAGGTAAACAAATAATTATATTTATGTTACTTGTACCGCAACAGAATATTCAGAATTCATTTGACTTGGCTTGCTTGAATTTGTAGAGGGAAGAACCAGCGAGGTAAGGTGACACATGATGGGAATAATTGGGCAAATGAAACAGATGATCAGCCTTCTAGGTCTGCTACAGATGCAGGGGAGCATAATGACGTCTCTGAAAGCAATAAGGCTGGTGAATCTGAGTCTGAGACAGTTGTTTCATCCTTGCCGGATCGGCCAAAGTGGCTTGAGCAGCATGTTGCCAAGAAGGTGCTTTAGGATAATTCTCTCTCGAATCTTGGTGAATCTGAGTCTGAATTTTAATGCTGTTAGTAGCATAGATTTCAGAAGCATGGAAATGATGCATTCATTTTGATTGACTTCATCTATTTGTTAGCTTTCTATGACTTTGAAGTTGTTTTGTTTGTTTGCTTTATTATGTGGAAAAAAATCTTATTTTTTTGTCGTTTCAAAAGAAATATTTGTTTGACTTTTACAGCATATGCGGATTGTAAAATTAGTGTCTTGTCCTTCTAGTATTATTAATATTATTTTCATAATTTTTTATGGGCATATCGATCTATTTTATTCATCCTTTTCTTTTTGGGGACACTTCTATTGCAAATTATGCATTTTGGACCCTTGAGGACATGGCACTCATGTCCAACTGCCAGGGACCCTTGAGCACACTCTATAGGAGGATTCATATTTCTAAAATATGTGTAAAATTTGAGCATTCTATGTGGATTTGGGTATGAAACTTTCACATACTTGCAATCTTGACAATTGTTTTATGTTAAGTGGTTCTTTTACAAGTAAACAAATAGATGGTCATGGTTGAACTATCATAATATACGTATGTTTGAGACCTTTTATCTTTTGTTGATGAAGTTGTTTATTGTTTTGCATCTGTTGAAACACAACTCGTATACATGTTTACAGATTATAGTTGTTTAGGGAATGAACAAAAACTATTCCTAGTACTTAGTTTGAATATATGCAGACACATCTTCTTTATCACAAGCTGTTTGAAGGTAATTTTGAGTGTTTGCTCAAATATTGGAAGATTTTGTTCTTGATTTCTTCTGCATGGTTTTTTTTTCTTTAAATCATTAAAGCTTTTAGTTTCTCTTCAGAGAGCTACGTTAAAAAAATTTATATTTATTTTTTGAAATTTTTTATATTCTTGAGTGTTGTCATGATGGGAATTACTTTTTTATGTAATAGGAAGTTGTTCCGGTACAAAAGAAACCAATTATCAAAGATCCAGTGGATGCAGAAAGACCTAAAGAGAAGACAGCAGCTGTATCATCCTCTCCAAGAAGCCCACCTAGAAATATGCAGTCCACTGCTCAATTGAAGTCAGATCTGAAGAGCGCTGCTACTGCAGATCCTGTTCCAAATATGAAAGCAACTCCAAATGGCCAGCAACAGACTGATCAAGTAGCAGCATTGAATACTTCATCCCAATCCACTGGCGTGGTTAGATCTGAGATCCAGAAGGCTGCTGTGCCAAAGCCGACTGAAAAGCCCCTGGAACAGCAGCTACCTATGATGTCAAGGCCCTCTAGTGCCCCACTTGTGCCTGGTCCTCGGCCAACTGCTCCTGTTGTTTCCATGGTGCATACTTCCCCACTCCTTGCCCGTTCTGTTAGTGCAGCTGGGCGGTTAGGTCCTGATCTCTCACCTGCTACTCATAGTTATATTCCCCAGTCCTATAGAAATGCCAAAATGGGAAACCCTGTTAGTTCAAGTTCAGCTGGTTTAGCTCATCCTAGCTCTCCTAGTTTGGGGGTGAATCCGTCTCCTGCATACTCACCACAGCATACCATGGTATCTGCACCTATGTATATACCCCAGAGCTCAGAAAGGATGGAGCCAAATCAAGTCCAGTCAGGCTTTCCTTTTGGCATGGTATCTCGGGATGTCTTACAGAATGGGCACCAGTGGGTCGAGAGTTCCCAAAGGGATGGCAACAGAATGATGCACCGTGATCCTTCTTCCCTGGTCAATGATATGCAAAACCTTGACTTATACAAGCCTGTGCCCTCCGGATCCAGGGAGCACTTTTCTAATGAGTTTTCTGCCTGTACATCTGGAAGACAAACCCAAGGTGTGTTGGCAGATGAATTTCCTCACCTTGATATCATCAATGACCTGCTTGATGAAGAACATGGAGCTGGGGTGGCAGCTAAGGCAAGCACAGTCCTTCAGTCTCTCGGCAATGGACCACATGTTTTAAATCGGCAGTTTTCTTTCCCATGTGATATGAGCATATCAGGTGACTCATCCGGTTCATGTAGGTTTGAACGGACAAGAAGTTACCATGATGATGGGTTCCACCGCGGTTATAGTTCTTCTGGCAGCCATTATGACTCGGTAAGGGAATATATTCCCCAAACTAGTGCAGTGCACTATCCAAATGGGCAAATAGATGGGATGGTTCCAACCGTGTGGCAGATGACTGGTTCTGATCTATCATTACTAGGTGTGAGGAACGTAGAAGGCGATGGTTACCCCTATTTCCACCCAGAGTATTCAAATTTGGCATGCGGTGTTAATGGCTACACAGTATTCCGACCTTCAAATGGACAGTAAAGGAGGGTACGACGGAGTTAGCCCGCCAATTAGAGGGTTATTTTTCCGTTGTAATAATGTATTTGAAGGAATTGTTGGGTATTAGATTTGGAGTGAGGTTGTAATCTTTCCATAAGAAAAAAAAAAAAATGTTATGTAAAGAGTGTTTCTGCCTTTGTTTTTATCAAGTTATTTAGTTTTTTCCTAGAAAATGAGGTTTTGATGTATTTTGGGCATTTGGTTAATGGTTGATAAATTTCATCTACAGCTTGCTGCTATTCCTCAGTAAAATTCTGGAAACAGGTTTATGTTATTCTGCCCCACTTGCCTTCGCAAAACCCTATGTGTATCAAATATGATTATATGGAATAGGGAGGGTTCTGCAGGTTTTTTTTTCTATACAAGTTTTGACACAATTTTGTGTTCTTTAATCTTTGGATTAAAGAAAAATCAATGGTCAAGATAGAATGAGTTGAAAATTATATGAGGGTAGAATCTCTCTTCATACTCTATATCTGTATTCTGTACATCCGAAACAAACATTTGTATTTCTAGTATCTAATAACAATTAAAAGTTCGAATAATGAAGAAATTGTCTCCTCAGGATTTGAGTCTACTGGATTGTATAGGGCCCGATCCAGTTCTCCACTCCAGTGTCCAAACACGTTACTTCACCAGCAATATATAAAAGTGTAATGCTAGGGTTTAATACGACAAGAACGTATAAATTCGCCCCAAAACTCAAAACACTTTCACTCGCCGGCACTTAAAATTTCCGACTGTGGTAGTATTTCTGTGGTAATTTTCTGTTATCTATACTTTGATAACATCGATGAATATGTCTCATTTCAGTTTTCTTGTTAATGTTATTTGCAGAACGAAGAAAAAATGTCGACCGGAGAGCTTGCTTGCACCTATGCTTCTCTCATTCTCCATGGAGATGGAATCGTCATTACTGTGCGTTCTCTCTCTGTTCCCCTTTTTCGCATTTATAGATGTTGGGTATGAAGAGAGATTCTACCCTCATATATACATTAAATAAACCTGGGATCATGCTAATCTATAAGCATCAATAGTTATCACTGAAATTACCTTAAAAAAATATAAAATGTTGAAGTAGATGATGATTTGTTTGTTTCGGAAGTCTGCAATACAAGTATGTATTGTTTTTACATTTTGAAGTACGTTGTAAACTCTATAAAAAAGCAATATGGCTAGTTCTTTTGAGTTTGTATGAATATTTTGTAGTTGGGTGAAATTATTCAGTTTTAGGAATGGTAAAGGACTGTTTACTGAGAGAGAAAAAGTGAAGATATACCTCTGTCCACTGATATGTTGGATATTTTTAAGAGGGCTTTGTTGAGTTTTCTTTCTGTTTTTATTTTTCAGCCTGAGAAGATTGCAACTCTGCTCAAGACTGCAAATTTGAATATTGAATCTTACTGGCCGAGTTTGTTTTATAAGCTGTGTGAGAAGAGAAGCATTGAAGACTTAATTCTGAATGTTGGCTCCGGTAAGCCATTTTGTGGATTGGGCTATATCATACACAATTGCTTCTTTTTTTTTATTTTTGTCTCTTGCAAGTGGTATTATTGACATTGGTTTAAACTGAAAAAATGTAGGTGGTGCCTCTGTTGCAGTTGCTGCACCAGCTGCTGCCACTGGTGGTGGTGGTGGTGGTGGTGGTGGTGCCCCTGCTGCTGCTGTTGAAGAGAAGAAGGTAGGTTCCAAACACGTTCAGCATCATACACACTATTTTCTAAGTCATATTTAAAGGAAAATTTGGAGCAGCAAAAGTTGCTTTGGTTGGAAATTTAATTTGAGTTGGTAGTTATAACTTGTTTGACAGGTAGTTTGGAAACTATTGGATAATAGTTTCTCCAGACTTAAAGTTGAATGTACCCAATGCGCTTGAATCAGCAACTCAGTTGACTTCTGTCTTTTTCACTGTTATGTCTGTCTTGTCAACTACTTTTAGAAGCTTCCCCTTGAATAGATGTTACTCTCACTAAACAGCTTTGGCTTTAGTATCGTGTTTGATTTTGATTTGTTTTTTGTGCTTTTACTTACCTTCATATTATTTATTTGATTGAGAATTCTGATTAGGCTTGTAGAAATCGTTAATAGCTCGAAGATTTAACATTTTAGTTTTGGTTGAATGTATCCAATGCACTTGAATCAGCAACTCTAGAACACACCTTCAAGTTGATGTATGACACCTAATTTCTAAATTTGTGAAATGTCTTAAGGGCCGGGATTTCTTGTTAAGTCGTTTTTATTCTCTGTACAAGGCTTACTATTTAAATAGAATTTTCATTACATTTATTTTCTAATTCATATTTTGTTCATCTTTCTCTTGCAGGAGGAGCCTAAGGAAGAAAGTGATGATGATATGGGATTCAGTTTGTTTGACTAAATTGTCACTGTATCCATCTTTGCACTGCAATCTTTAGCTCCAGAATTTTGAAGGAGACTGTTGTGTTTCTGAGGAAGTTAGACATTACATTATAATTTTCTTTAGTAAACTTAATTTAGTTAAAGTTATTATATTTGCCTTTATTCTTTTTTCAGACTTTGTTGTTTGTTGCTGGTTGTTTAGCATGATATATATCTGAGATAAGACTAATTTCTCAAGTATATTAGGGAGGGTATATAGATAAGGATTTTGGGGGGTTGTAGTGGGTATTTACTCTCTATATGAAAATTGCTGAGTAACCTAATTATTGCATCTAGAAGTATAGATGGTAGCCTCAGTTTTCGCTTGAAACCTCAAACTATTCTGTGAGCTTGTGGTCATTACTGGAAGAATATTCTTGTTTGGTGGTGTCATGAATGAGGAAATGCCAATGTAATGGTGCTGGTGGTCGATAGTTAGTGATTAAATATCGATTTGAATGCCTTTTGATTATCCGACGTAGCTTGATTCAAAAAGTTGGTGGATATTCTAATGGATAATCATAAATCTTCTGTCAGTGAGTTTTGGGCAACTTGCTATATTATAATTATCATTAATATAACAATAATGAAAGCCCAAAACATAGTGAAGTCAACTGCAAATGGTATTAGCCAGGCGTAGTTAATTATTTTTTATATAATCTCAAATTGTTGCTTAACTTGTCGTGTACTACACTCTGTTCTAAAGATTTTTACTTTCACAGCCGAAAGACTTTATCAGCAAGTCGTACATTAAAAAATTCCTCTTATATTTTTTTTTTTGTTGACTGTTGACTTATACTTCTAGAGCTCCCTTCCCTATTTCCTCGATCCCTCGTGTCCTTTGGATGTTTTGGCAGGCGGCTTTTAGCCTATCTATTTTATAATGTTTACGTGTTCCAGCTACATTTTGACACTAATGAACAACCTTGAGTATTGCCATAGTAGCGATGGTGGAGAAGAGAAAAAATGGAAACTGTATTTGACTAGTGCAAAAGAATATTTAATCTTGGTAGGTTATCGGAACACCAAATACGCCTTCAACGGTGATCTAAATCTAATCCCGTTCAAAGTCATCAAGTATGTCATCATTGACGAAAATATTAACACAAGCAGGCTTCCAGTGGCTACAACATTCAAGGTCCAAGCAATTGCAGTCCCCAAGAAGTTTCCTTTCACGAGAGAGAAGACCGGCCCCCAGAAGCCAAATCTCATCACATTAAGCAATCAAAGACTTTTTATAATCGTTTAACAAAATATCAAGTGTTTAATCCCATAACTAATCAAGCTTAATTTATGTTAATATATAGTTAGATAAACTAAAGTAGGTAGAAAAGGAAAACTGGGAATTCAAGTCCAAAAACCTCCGATTTAACGTGCTTTTATAATTACGACCCGTTCAATTTCTTTGATTTTTTGTTTTAATAGGAAAATAAACCTAGTAGTCAATAGTCAAAATCTTTCATCGAATAAAATAGTAACCACAATATTATTCAAAATTCATTGCTATAAATATCCTCATTTCTTCATGTAATTTTTCATACTTAAGTCTTTCTCAATTGCCCAAGAATCATGACCACTCTAAACAACATCATTTTGGCAGCTCTTCTTGCTCTTCTTCTGCATATCCAGCCAGGCAAAGCTAGTAGGGTTTTGCATGAACAAGTTTTGTTGAATAAAGAAATACAATTGCAGTCTCTTCAAAAGGGTTCAGTCCCTCATATTGGGGGCTCCGGATGCACCTATATTCCGGGAACCAGTGGAACGGGCTGTCCAGTCAAGGAGATGAACGTTGCTGGCGATGTTTTGCACCGTTCTGGCGCTTATCCATCTCCCATGCTCACATTTGGCGTGGCTACCAATCAGTAATCAAGTTAATTTACTTATCAAAGTCTCGATTCAGAAACTTTAAGCTCAGGTTTCATATTCATAAGCCAATTGAATTCAGGAGAATCATGATATTGGATAAAAACCAGGACGTGCAAGAGTGTGATAAATTATACAATCACAAGCTTTGGCTATTCTTTTAATTATTATCATTATTATTTTTTTTCCTCATTCATTTATTCTATATGCAGTTTGTACATCTATGTTTTATTGTTGAATACATAGGAATGAATTTGTTATTCTTCTTCTTCGGTTAAGGGCATTGAAGAGAAAGTTTTGTAAATTTTAGGAGAATAAAGTTTCTCAGAATTTGATCAAGTTCTGCTTCTGTATCAGCAATTCTATTCCTGTTTTCTGTAAAATCCTGATTGTCCTTATAGTGAATGATACTATATTTATTTATGTTGAGTTGACGTTGTAACTGCACTCATTTAGCTTTTTGTACAACAAATTGATAGCTCTGTGGATTGTGGCTTCACCTTTTGGCCGCTATTCCTGAATCCTCGTTGTTTTATCTGTTTGGTCGCCAAGAAAATAGAATATAAAGGTTAACTTTTGTCAATATCTAGTGGTATTCTGACTCAAAAGGTGCCTATATAAAAATAAAAAATAAAAATTGCGTATTAAAATGGAGAAGATTAATGGGGGTTTGGAGATGAGTATTTGAATACGTACATTTTGGGGCAGTATATCTTTGACTCACCATACCTAATAGATTAGAATTACAAGCTGTTCAATTATTAGATAAAAAAAATAATTGTTACTGCTACCAAAAACATATATATGGCAAATTCATGAGTTCCTCCCAGGCTCCCATCAACATTTGCGTGCATCATTGTCTTACAACAAAAAACCAATGCTAAAACAGTTTCCCCAGCCAAACACTGCTTCACTACCAAATCAGCTAAAATTTTATAAATTAAAAAAAAAAAAAAATACAATTCAAATATAAAGAAGGCAAAGTAAACTGACCTTGGCGGCTGTTGCTGGAGACTTCGAAGGCACATTTTTGCTCCTGTTTTGTTCTTCAAATCGACAGTTTTGTCTTCGACGATTTATCGATTCTTCGCTAAAATCAGCTTTGGATTGCTTCGGTGGCAGCAAATTCAAAATTAATTTAATAACAAGAACAGAAAAATAAGCTGTTTTTATGGTTAAAACAGAAGTGGAATTATGAGCAATATTACGACATGTGGCAAGTAATATGGATGATATGGGTTTCGTATTAACAACGTGGCTTCAACAAACAAATAAAAAAAATTATTTATGGTGTATATCACTTCAGTTCACATAGATTGACTCATATAGGGAGTTACATAAAATTATGGAAAATATTAGCGATTTTTTAAATATTAAAGTATTAGACATATGTAACAAGTCGTTCATACTGGAGATGACACGTCTGTTAGACAGAAAACGGCACGTCGGTTACAAGGAAACGACATGTCGTACCTTTTTCTGGTGAATATCAGTTACTCCCCTTGTGCTGTTGTACTCCAGTAAATATCATAAAACACTAATTTTGTAAATCGTGGGACCTAAGCAATATTTACCCTATGTCAGGAATGACATTGGTTAAGTTTGACAAGGACTTTTTTTTTTTTTTTTTTTTTTTTTAATCTTCATTCAATACGAGTATCAGTTACATGGCCTCTGGTTTTTGTAATTGTTTACTATCCTTCCTTGAAATCTTTTAATTAATAATTTTTTTTCTCAACAATTATCACTCAATCTCTTCGATGGTGGACTGTGCTATATTGTGCTTAAAAATTCAAGGTTTGTTGTGTCATGGGCCATACTGTGCCAACGCTTGTAAAAATTTGTGCCTCATTGTGCTGTGCCGTGCCGACCCACTAAAGCTGAAGGTCCATAGCATGAGCCGCTATATAGCATGTTGTAGAGCTGGGCATTTGGGATTGGACCCAAAAGCTCAGCATCAAAACCTAATCCTAGGACCGGTCTTTGAGAGGACCGGTACTATTTTGGGGCCAGGCCTAAGGAGGAGGGCTCGGGCCCTCCACTGGGCCCTCCTCCAAGGCCCGGGTTTGGGCCCAATTTTTTTTTTGCATTTTATCATTTTAGTCCTTTATAAAATTATTTAAACCCCCTAAAATAAGTATAAATTATAAGGACTAAAAAAAATTTTACAAAATTTATTTAAAAAAAAAATTAACTTTTTATAACCGTTGGCTGCCAACGGTCACAAGAGCAGCCAACGGTTATAAACTTATAATTATTTATTAATTATAAGTTTTTTTTTTCATTTTCTCCCCCACAACTACACTATAAATAATCCTAAAACCTTTTATTTTTTTCACACCAATCAATCTCTCATTTTCTCATTCTCTCAATCTCTCTACTCCAAATCTCCAATCAATTTCTCATTCAATTTATATTTATAATTTATTCATATTATTCAAATTTTTTTCTCCAGTCCCAGGCTCATGAGTGACTGGTTCCATTTGGGACCGCAAGGGACCGGTCCCTTGCCCACCTCTAGCGTGCCGTGCTATGGGTCAACCTACAATTTTTTTTTTAATATTTAATATCTATAAATTATTGTAATTTCTATTTCTCCTTAATAATTATTATAAAAATATTTTATATATTATATTTAGTGACATTTTGAGTTTGTTTTAATTAAAAAGATATATAATCACTATCAAATATAATAAAATAATAAGACATTGAAATATTAATTGAATTTTAACACTTTTTATTACTTATAAGTTATAATTATAAATTATAAATGCAAACTTAAAAATTAGGATTAAGAATTAACATTAACAATCACATCTCCATTAAAAATACATGTATATAAATACAATACAATTATCTCAACTTTGATTTTAGTTTACAAATATTCAAAGTAAATGATTGATAAAAAAAAAAAAAAAAATCATACATCATACATCATACATCTTCATTTTCATTAATTTCTTTTAAAAATTGACTTTAATTAATTTGAAGTCTTCTTCAGCACTTTCTTGTAAAATCTAAGACGATGATCATGTTTTGATATTATTGGGAATTTATGAGGAGTATGACTCAGTTAATTATATAGGATTGTGAATTAATTTACAATTAAGGAAAAGATTTTAAAAGTCATAAAGTGGGAGAAAAGAAAAGGAAGAAGAGCAAGGGTTAAGAAGGAGAAAAGACCTACGTACTTCGCCTTTGTAATGGGGAGCAAAACAAGTCGGTCTGAGTTAATTAGTAAAAGTCAAATATAGGAATAT